GTATACATGCCTGCCTTCCGTAACGTGACGTGACTACAGTTGGAAAAAAGAGCGCATGAGACACTTAATTTGTCTTAAACTACAGACATTCTGACAAATAAGTAACTGTTTGTAACCTTACTTCAGCTTAGAAGGCAGAGGGTGTCGGTCTTTTCTGCTCAGATTCAGCTATCCGAGCATGAAGCTAATGTTTGCTTAAATGCTAATGCTACGCTTACTCTCTGGTGCTCAAGAGGTAGAGGAGCCAAATGTCTGGCTCACTGCTGCCAACTAGTGGTCAGAGGCTGAACTACAACATAAAATGAACGGCTGGCAGGAAAGTTGACGTTTTAAACCTTAATAAAAATCAATACAGGGCTTTAGAATATCGATACAGTTTCGGGAAATGAAATATCACYATATTTCAGTGTATCGATATTTTCTTACACCCCTAGTGTCAATCTGCAGCTCTGATCGTATGTTCTGTAAGCTAATAGAAACGCTCGAACCTTTCTGTAACGGGGGGAGGAGCAGGTGGAGGCTGTCAGCGATTCTGTCAGGATCATCATGTTCCAGTTCCTCCAGCAGACCAACCAGCAGCTCTTTGGGTCTGCAGCTCTACACAAACACAACAACAGATCTCAGCAGAGAAACATGCTGTCCTGGTTTTCATCAGATCAGGTTTAAARAAAAAATTAGCACATTTAGCAGGAACCAAGAACCTGCATAACAGTAATCCCACAGTTCAGTGAAGAGTTRGGAGCTGAGCAGGGTCACAGACCTCGATCAGGTGGTTGAAGATGGCCAGACAATGTGGAAAGTTCGGGTCTTGTTTCTTCAGCAGCACCTGGACCAGCGGCGTCAGCAGGGTCCAGCCCAAACTTCTCACCAYGTTCTGCAGAGACAGACGGTCACAGCAGGGATAGGAGTTACCGCCACAAAGACCAGCAACACCTCTGAGGGTCTTACCTGGTTCTTCTCATCCAGGACGATACTGAGGACCTGCGGGGCGTGGCCCTCCTCGATGCAGGTCCGCCCTGCTGTTGTGAAGACATCATGATCCTCTGAGGTGTAGCTGTCATCTGGGAGAGCTTGCTGTGACCAAACAAACAGAAAAGAGTTAAAGACCCTGTCTTTCTTTAAGATATCAGTGCTGTTGTGTCCAACATGTCTCTGTGATGGACTGAGACCTGTCCACATGTCTCTGTGATGGACTGAGACCTGTCCACATGTCTCTGTGATGGACTGAGACCTGTCCACGTGTGATGGACTGAGACCTGTCCACGTGTGATGGACTGAGACCTGTCCACGTGTGATGGACTGAGACCTGTCCACGTGTGATGGACTGAGACCTGTCCACGTGTCTCTGTGATGGACTGAGACCTGCCCACGTGTGATGAACTGAGACCTGTCCACGTGTCTCTGTGATGGACTGAGACCTGTCCACGTGTCTCTGTGATGGACTGAGACCTGTCCACATGTGATGGACTGAAACCTGTCCACATGTGATGGACTGAGACCTGTCCACATGTGATGGACTGAGACCTGTCCACGTGTCTCTGTGATGGACTGATACCTGTCCACATGTGATGGACTGAGACCAGTCCACATGTTTCTGTGATGGACTGAGACCTGTCCACGTGTCTCTGTGATGGACTGAGACCTGTCCACATGTGATGGACTGAGACCTGTCCACATGTGATGGACTGAGACCTGTCTACGTGTCTCTGTGATGGACTGAGACCTGTCTACGTGTCTCTGTGATGGACTGAGACCTGTCCACGTGTGATGGACTGAAACCTGTCCCACATGTGATGGACTGAGACCTGTCCATGTGTCTCTGTGATGGACTGAAACCTGTCCATGTGTCTCTGTGATGGACTGAGACCTGTCCACATGTGATGGACTGAAACCTGTCCATGTGTCCCACATGTGAGACTGATGTAATATGGTTTCTTTAAACAAACTAAATAAAGTAAATATTCTGTGAGAAGGTGTTTTTATCATTGATAAACTGTATATTACTGGATTGGACAAGTCCTAATGGTACTCATGTGTATGTCATAGTCTCAACACATAGTAATGGCGGCGTCTCAAATCACGTGACATGCAGTTGTTTTTATACTCACACATCTTTGAACCACATCACTGAGCTGCTCCAGAGCCATCCCCGATGCTCTCAGCTGACCTGTAGATTCATGAACAAAGCATTACACACAGGTCCAAACGACTGGATCATGAACATGTTTCAGACTGAGCTGTGTGTGAAAAATAAACAGTGCCATAGAGGATGCTAGCGTTAGCTGCACGTGTAGCTTCTTTCTGGCTGATAAAAATCAAACAACRGAAACACCGAGCTGCTCTAATTACAAGACACGAATTTAACTGTAGAATTAAACAGTTACTAACCTCTTCCTTCATGTCCCAAACAGGTAAAAAGAAATAGTACAACTCTATGCTTCCCGACCACACCGCGAACTACTTGGATTGACCTTCCCGGCTGCCGTAGAGCTGCTAACCCGGTCAGGGGTCAAAGTTCACCGAGAGGAAAACAGAGAACAGCATGGAGTCACCGAAGAGAACAAGTTCGTCGAAAACAGGCAGGAAAGGTTAGTTTATAGTCAGAGTTGATTCTGTCGTTAGGAGTTAAGATGTTATCTCTTTATAAGCTACCAGGACACAGAAAACTACTTCCTGTTAGCTTATAAAGAGCTAACAGCTAGCCCARGGAGCTAAGTGACTTTAAATCTGTTCTGTTTCAACAGGAGGAGGGAAACCTGGTAAAGCTCAGGCCGCCGAAGAAGCAGCAAGACGGTGAGGGGAAAAGTGCTGTTTTAGTTGTGTATTTGTGTTTCAGCTGCTTGTGCTGAGTACATGTTGGTGTTTGTCAGGAGAGAAGCGCTGAAGGAGAGGCTGGAGCTGGACAGGAGAGCCCTGCAGGTGGTGGACAGGCTCCTGGAGGACAGGGTGTCTGAGGACTTCCTCACTGACTCTGTGAGTGTCTCCTCTCACTTCAGACAACCTGACACACGTCAAATCATTTCCACAACCGTCATATTATATTTTACTAACTGCACAGTTAGTAAGTGGACAGTTTATGGTAAAGTTTTAATCAAATATTTAATGTAAGTTGTGTGGCTAAGTAAATAAGTAAATATTAAGGGTGCATGTACCCGTATCAAACCGTATCGAACACTGCTTTAGGTTCAACACACACTTGTATGGAACAATACAGATTTTTAAATTTTATTTTATCAA